CTAAAGAGCAAAATGCAGACGAAAATTCCAAAAAAAACAGTTACATTGATCACTTCATAAACATGCAAATAGAGCATACAGTAACCGAGAATGCTAAGCTTATGGATATTGTCTTGATAATGTAGATTTGTAAGAACATTGAGATCAGAAATTACCTCAAGCTAAAAACATCCAGAAGAGCTATCTTTGTAAGATATAAAGAAAAATACAGAAACAAGCTTTGGAAACTAGTCAGTTACAGATGGCTAGCTTCCCGTTCAGTTCATTGGGTGACCCATAGTCCAGGCTTAGCTCAGCTAACGGAGAGATGTTCTCCAGTGCAAAAAGCATGACGCGAGGGAACATCAAGTTGTTATGGTCATATAATACAAACTGCACCATCACATTTGGTTCTTTGCTATCACTTATGTAACAAGCCACGTTTCTCATCCTCGACACATCCATGGCGAAATCCAATGGAGGGAGAGATGGATAATCCGGCCGAACATATTCGGGGTATACTTGAGACAAATCACCCCAGTTCCACCATTTTTCTGTGAACCGACTTGGATAGACCATAGTATCCCCATTCATTGATAGAATCTCCGCCTGATCTCTTGTAAGAATAACACCTGCATATTCGCATATGAAAGCACCGGCTTGTATAAGATCGAGCGTCCTGACACCCCAACCCGTTTCCTTTGATCTGAAAACCTCCAGCCTATGCCTCAATCCCTTCTGCGTCACACGGTTCTTGCAACCAGGACCACACTTGCAGTATAACCCACATTCAAATACCACAGGCTTTCCTCTCAATAAAGTCCCGTTATCGTCATAAGGAAGCTCACCACCATTCTTCCTTGCGCAAAGACAATCGTCAGTGCAGGAGACACTACAGTCGCAGCCGATCCTGTTCATTTCTCCTAGACCAGAAATACCAGGAGGGAAGACAGATTTCGCGAGGTACTCATAGTATAAGGGTTCCTGATCATTATCTATGGCATTATATAGAAACACCGGGACATTCTCCTTCCTGCAAGAAATGTCATAGGTAATATACCCAGTAGGCCTGACCATCAATGGTTTATCTCTAAGTATTTTCGCAAACTTCATTTTCGCACTGCCCATCTCTGGTTGCTTTTCGATTCTGACTAGCTTAAACTTCAACACTCCAAAACCAGACTTCCCCGAATCATACCACCATGCTATAATCTTATATAAACCATCATAGACATAAACCTTAGAGCTAATATTGTTCTCATACTTAAATCCTCTAATCACCCGTACCTCAATACCATAATGCATACTCCTCTCCATTGCTAGATTCCCACCTTCTAGCTTCTGATGCTGACACTGCCTATGGAGCTTATCCTGACCACCATGACCTGTATAAACCAAAACATCCCCTGTGTCTTCATCATCCTCGTAACCACCTGAGACGATAATGCTCGTGGCTATAGGCTCTCCATTAGAGCTCCTGTGAGCTGTTAAATAGTCAATTCCGGCTTGAGGCTGGCCGTGTAAACCCACCACACAGAGTTCCATACGGTAAAAGAACATATCTCCGATCTCAACACCAGGGACTGAACCCACAATGTGTTTGTCCTGATTCAGCCACAACCCATGTTCTCTCATCAGATACGAAGCTTTGATATCGCCTCTGAGCTTTCTCCGCGGAGAACGCTTCATGTCCTCCGTTATGAGATGAATCCGGAGAGAATCAAAGATCATTCTGGTTCGTTTCAAGATTTCTCTATGTTGTTTCTGTTCGTCTTGCCTTAGCGAAGTAACCCTCACGAGCTCTTGTGGTCTCTGAAATTTCTGTGGAGGAGGACGGAGCGAGACGACGTTGGATGAGGAAACACGATTATTATCCACAAATCCCGGTGGAGTTTGTTCCTCCGGTAAAGGGACGATCGCGCAGGAATCAGGACCGATTACAGAGACTCCGTCGTGTACTTCGAGCTTCTGACTCGCGAATGCCGAAAGGAAAAGCTCGCGGATGCGATTAAACTCGGATAAGAGATTGGAATTTGAGAGATC